CAGTCTCTTGCATACAGTGGAGGAATGTTGCTTCTTATATGAGTGTGTTGCACACACTCATAAATGCACACACACACACTGATGCACACATCCACACACACGAATGCACACATATAACGACACACTCTTAGACAGCATCACACACTCATGCACAGCATACTCACAAATGTACATAGAGACACATGCTCACATATGCACCCACACTCACACCTGCACCCACACCCATTGACAAACACAAACACGGGTACTCACACGCCTTCACAGGCAGGCAAATGCACCCGCACATGTACAAACTGGTATGTACCCTCACACACCCGCTAAGTTGAGCCACTCACCCCAAATCATCTATGTAGATGCAAAAGGGCTTGCGGGGTGTGTGTGTGTATCTATATATCTCTACAGGCTCTGTAGTGGCTGTTAGGGAGGCTGAAAAACAGATTCAGCCGAGGAGGCAGGCGGTGGAGGGAAGGGGGGACATGGAAAGGGAGAGGGAGGGGGAGGGGGAGGGGGGAGAGAGCGAGAGAGCAAGAGAGAGAATGACAGACTGTAATCCCCCTTGAGTGCCTAGCCTCATGAATATTAATAAGGTGGTAATTAAAATGCAGGGACACAGCAAGACGGATGCGAGGGCTCCTTTCAGAGCGCTGGGAATGGGGCGGGCAGTGAGGGAGGGGGTGCTTGCAGAACACAACTCTTTCCAGGCAGGGTTTGTATTTATTTCTATTTTTTTTTTATTCTCTTCTCTTGATGAGCGAAAAGAGAGAGAAGAAAACAGAGCCTTCAACTTTCATCAGTTTGGAAGGGAGGGTTCTGCTCGCTCTTCCCCCCCTTCCCCCTTTGCACAACCTTTTTCCCCCCCTGACACGACATCTCTTTAATTGCTGATTCCCCCCTCTCTACTCCCCCAGAACTCAGCCATAAACCAGGATATAACGAACTTAGCCCCCCTCCTTCCAGTGCGTGGCGATGGTGCAACTGTGGCTCCATGTCAGGGCTATAGTTGGGCTGTGGGAGAGTTGTGCTTTCCACCGCCAATTGTCATCAGCTGGCTTTTGTCTTCCTGGCCTTGGGTGGGCTAAGGTGGCAAGTCAGCTCCGCTGGTTGAGTTGCAGGGGCACAACAGTTCTCTTCCCTGCTACCCCTTACCCATTAAGCCACCTGCTGCTCCTAAACCAGGTAGCAAAACTCATCATTTATCCACATGGTGGTGGCAACAGAATTTTCAGCACAGTCAAATAAGCGGGTAGCGAATACTCAGCTGAATATTGCACAGAGTGGTGCCGAGCGGCACCCGGAGCGCATCAACCCCAGCCGAGCAAGACAACCCTTCTATATAATTTTTATCATTTGCCATTGTGGCGGCTTTCAGACCTTGTGGGGCTCCAACTCCCTACAGCCCCACAACAGACATAGCAAGATAGGGGCGCAGGGAGTTGCAATCCAGCAGCGTCGTGTGAGGCAGGCATTGACAACCTCAGCAATACAGTGGACGCTCAGGTTGCAAACGTGATCTGTGTGGGATGCATGTTCGCAACCTGCAGTGGTGCATCTGCGCACACGCAGGTTGAGATTTGGTGCTTCTGCGCATACACGATCGCCAAAACCCGGAAGTAACCCGTTCCGGTACTTCTGGGTTTCGGCAGTCCGTAACCCAAAAAAACGCAAACCTGAAGCGTCTGTAACCCGAGGTATGACTGTACTGGGTTAGACCTCTAACCTGGGAGAGAGAAGGGTTTGAATCCCTGTTCAGCCCCAAAGCTGGGTGGGCGGGGAAACTAGGGCTGGCCACTCTTTCTCATGTCTTGGCCAGCCTTGGATGGGTGTATGGGAGGGGAGAGAGGGGAAATGGAATGTTTGTTTATTTATTAAATTCCTATTCCCACCCAAAGGAGACCAGGGTTTCAAACACCAAAGTGGAATGTGTACAGCAGAGTGCAACCAAGATGATCAAGGGTCTGGAAACCAAGTCTTATGAGGAACAGTTGAAGGAGTTGGGTATGTTTAGCGTGCAAAAAAAAGGAGACTGAGAGGAGATACAATAGCCATCTTCAACTATCTGAAGGCTGTCACAAGGAAGAGTGTGAAAGCTTGTTTTCTCATGAGTCCAGAGGGTAGAACTCAAACCAATGGATTCAAATTGCAAGAAAGGAGATTCCGACCAAACACCAGGAAGAACTTTCTGATGGTAGGAGCTGTTTGACAGTAGAACGGACTCCTTTGGAAGGTGGTGGGCTCTCCTCCCTTGGAAGTTTATAAGCAGAGGTTGGATGGCCACCTGCCATGGGTGCTTCAGTTGAGATGCCTGCATTGCAAGGGATTGGGCTAGATGACCTCAGAGTTCCTTCCAAATTTACAAATCTATGATTCTGTGTCAAAACAATACAGTGTTTTTTATTGTTATTAAAAACAATTTTAAAAACATATTGAGACAATTTAAAACGTATTATAATCATATTAAAATACACGCACCCCAGTCACAGACCCTCCTGGCTGGTTATTTCAAGATTGCCAGGGACAGTATCTTTTAGTGATCAAAATGCCAGGGTATTGAGACATTTGGAGCATGATTTGGGGTGTAATCAATGTAAGCAAGTTGGAACCGCAAGCCTCTGTTGCAGCATACAGTGTCTCTGTTCAGTGTGGTGGAACAGAATGGGTGAATCTGACATTTTTTGTTTGGAAGTTTTGTTTGGAAGTTTTTTCTGTGTTAAGTTCAGTTCTCCACATTTCCACATCAATTTGCATTTTAAAAATAAAATCAGTGTCGCAGCCCAAATTTCTCCTAATGCACAAATTTTTGCACAGCAATTTCCCTTAACATAATGCATCTTAGTATGTTATTTTCACTGACATTTTATGCACATCTTAAAAGGTAAAGGTAAAGGGACCCCTGACCATTAGGTTCAGTCATGACTGACTCTGGGGTTGTGGCGCTCATCTCGCTTTCTTGGCCGAGGGAGCCGGCGTACAGCTTCCGGGTCATGTGGCCAGCATGACTAAGCCGCTTCTAGCGAACCAGAGCAGCACACAGAAACACCGTTTACCTTCCCGCTGGAGTGGTACCTATTTATCTACTTACAGTTTGACGTGCTTTTGAACTGCTAGGTTGGCAGGAGCAGGGACCGAGCAACGGGAGCTCACCCCGTCGCGGGGATTCGAACTGCCGGCCTTCTGATCAGCAAGTCCTAGGCTCTGTGGTTTAACCCACAGCGCCACCCACGTCCCATGCACATCTTACTCTGGTGTAAATATGCATTTTTGCGTGTATGCACTTCACTTGGCTGGAGAAGGGCATGGTGAAATCATGCATAGCCATGTTTCACTTCATATTTATAAATGTGGATTACGGAAGTTCATCTTTAAATGTGTGCTGAATCCGACTTCTCCCTCATATCTTGTGGATGCCATAGCAGCCAACTCCTAGGGGCCGAGGCGTCTTCAGGCCTCCTAATAAAATATTCAAGGGGGTTGGGCCCCAATAGTTGATGGGCATTCCCATTCAAATGGTATGCCCGTACCACATCATGTGATTGATTATGTGGGGTGGGGCCTACCTGCCCCCCTATTTTATTAAAGTTGGCCCTCCCTTTATGAGCCCCTGATGTGGCTAGGAGACCTAGAATGCACTGCTTGGATACATAGACTGGAATAAAATAACCAGCCACACAATATAAGATGGGAGACACCTGGCTTACTAGTAGCACACGTGAAAAGGATCTGGGTGGTCTTAGCAAACTAATGCTATTCTAGGTTTCATGAACAGTCACGAATAATTGTTTAATAGTAATAAGACATCCTCCACTTTTAAAAAAGTTTTATTCCTCTGCAATAACACCTTTCAGCTTTCTGTCTTGTTCTCAGGAGCCCTTGAGAAGTCTCTAGAATTTATGTGGGTGCAGGATTTTGAGATGATTTTATGGTTGCTAGGTGACCAAGGGTGGTGTGTGACAAAATGAGGGGAAGCTTGGGCTCCGGGGCTAAATGTACCCCCTCCCCTGGCCTCTCTACCTGGCCTTCCCTTCCATTTTAGGGGTTTGAAAGTCTATCTTGCACTGGAAATTGGTTGCATAACTAGTACAAGAGAGACATTACATGAGCCAGCATAGATTTAGGGCAGTGCAAGCAGTTCTGCCACACAGGGCACCAAATCGAGAAGATCAATAATTGAGAAGATCCATTTGTAGGTGCAAAATTTTGGGCTCACACAGGGTACCTGTGTATTACAAAAGATTACCAAAGTCCGCCCAGGCCTGGAGGCCGTATAGTTGCAAAAATTGGGGAGTAGGGTGTGGTTCCTTTTTCACTTCTGTCAGGAGTTGCACAGAACTTCTGTCAGGCAGGCTACAGATAAAGCAGAACCAAAAGGCGAAGGGGCTGGGGGCTGGAAGGCAATTACTGTGGATTCAGCAGGCTTACATAAAGCAAAGAGGAAGTTGACTGCAGAGCTGGTTTCATCCGTGAGTCATTGCAGCCGCTCACATCCCCACACCCGTTGCTCAAGGCTTTGCAACTCTTTCAGCTGCTTTCCTTTTTCCCCACTGGAAAGAAAGAAAGAAAGAAAGAAAGAAAGAATCCCTTAGTCATCCTGAGCCTTGATTACGAAAAAGGTAGAACTGGATGCAGATGGCCTTTGCATCAAATAAATGTGTTTTTGTGCGTGAACTAGCTTTTACGCGGAGTAGACCCATTGAAATTAATGGACCTGAATTAGTAGCTGCCATTCATTTCAGTGTGGGTTTATTCTGAGTAGGACTGACACGGGGTAACAGTGGTAATGCATATGCTTTGCATTCAGAATGTCCCAGGTTCAATCCAGGTAGGGTTGAGAATGATTCCCTTTGTGACCCCCCCCCCCAGAGAGCCGCTGCCAGTGGCTAGAGGGAATCCTGAGCTAGACAGACAAATGGCTGGATTTGGCATAAGGTGGCTTCCTTTGTTGCCAAATAATTCAGCACTTTATTCAGAAAGATGAGGACTAGAAGCTTAATTCATTTTAAGGCGGTGGGCTGTAGCTCAGAGGCAGAGCATCTGCTTGACATACAGAAGGTCCGAGGTTCAATTCCCAATGACATCTCCAGGTAGACTCCCTGTATGAAACCTTGGAGAGCCGCTGTCAGTCAGTGTAGGTAATACTGAGCTAGATAGATCAATTTCCTGACTTGACGTAAAGGCAGCTTTCTACATTCACATGTCCCTCACCAGGAACTCCAGCCCTTCACAGATGCAGTTCTGTGATGTCCACTACATCACACTGTCCTCTCTGCAAGTTAAATGTTGTTGTTTGTTTTTATTTACACACCCACACACCCCTTGTGACATTCTTTTAAGTGAAATTAGTTTTAATTGTTGCAGCCACTCTACTAGGAATAACTCCTCATTTAGTGCTTTTGAACATAGAATCATAGAAACATATAATTGTAGAGTTGGAAGGTACCCCATGGGTCATCTAGTCCAACCTGCTGCAATGCAGGAATATGTGGGTGGCCTATATGGGGATTGAACCTGTGACCTTGGTGTTATCAGCGCCAAGCGCAAACTAACTGACTCACCTGTTTCTGCTTTCTAGCTTCCTTGGGTTGAACTTAGGGAGGAGCGTGTGAACTCAGAAACATTTGCATCTTGCACCATTAATTTTGGAGCAGGCCCTTGTGGTGCTCTTTGAAGTTTCCCTCTTGCTTCTTAGAGGACACTGGTGGGTAATGGCACAAGGCTGCACACTCATGAAATGCAAACCAGATGTGAGTCCATCAATATCCTCCATCCTTATTTGGCACCTACACTCGCACCTGAATAATCTCCCTCCCTTTACCCCTCAAACCCCCTTCAACTATCCCTCGTAGTTCCCTCTCCCCTCACCCCACAGCTCATCCAAGCTCCTCCTTCCTCCCCCAGCCCCTTTTCAAGGAGGGGAGAGGCACTTCACAGCACACCTGCTGTTCCTCAGGCTGCAGTTGGCATGAACTGCAGAGCATGACGACACCTTACATTTTTATGTATATAGAAAGATATAAAGTCCTGATAGAAATTCATCACCCTTTTAGTGTGTATTTCCACATGGAATTTTTTCCCTAATATGCACACTTTTGCAAACCATTTCCCCTAACACAATTCTTTCTGGAAAGTTTATTTTGATGAATATAGGCATTTTTTGTTTTAATTCTATTAGAATTTAATTACTTTTTAATGATGATCTTCTATATGTTTTTGGCTCATTATATTTATCTGTGTTGTTTTAATTTGTGCAAGCTGCCTTGAGTCCTTGCCTGGAAAAAAAGGTGGGATAGTCGGGTGGCGGGATTTAAGTTGAATAAGCAAAAAACTAAGGTTTTGGGGAAAAACTTGACACCCTCAGAAATAGATGGGTTTCAGAAGGAAACAGAACTAAGTGTGGTAAAAAAAGTAAAATACCTAGGGGTTCACTTGTCAGCGAAAAATTTGAATCTATTTAAAGACAACTATGAAAAATGTTGGCTGGAAATCAAAAAGATTTGGAAATCTGGTCAAGACTGAAACTTTCCTTGTTGGGTCGAATTGCAGCTATAAAAATGAATGTATTGCCGAAAATGTTATTTTTGTTTCAAACCCTACAGATTGTGGACAGAGTGGAATGTTTTGGAAAGTGGCAGAAGGATATATCTAAGTTTGTTTGGCAGGGCAAAAAGCCCTGGATAAAGTTTAAAATACTAACTGATTTGAAAGAAAGAGGGGGGTTTGCCCTGCCGGACTTGAGAATATATTATGAAGCTGCGGCCTTCTGCTGGATGAAAGATTGGTTACTTCTTGAGAACACTGATGTTCTAGATCTGGAAGGGTTTGATAATGCTTTTGGCTGGCATGCATATTTGTGGTACGACAAGGTAAAGGTTCATAAAATGTTCAAAAATCATATTGTTAGAAAATCAATATTTATGGTCTGGACAAAATACAAGGACTTATTAGAGGGTAAGACTCGAGGTGGCTTTCACCAGCAGAGGCCAAGGCCCGGAAAAAACCTAATATGGAGGTTGGTTGGCTGAAATATGGGGAAATTATAGAAAAAGTAGGAGAAACTTGGAGGCTGCAGAGTTATGAAAAATTAAAGAATAAGGTGCAAAATTGGCTTCACTATGCTCAAATTCAAGAGGTTTTCAAGTTGGACAAAAGAATAGGTTTCCAGGTGGAAAAATCGAAACTAGAGACAGAATTGTTGGAACCAAGGACCAAGGTACTTTCGAGAATGTATATCTTGCTGCTTAAATGGAACACTCAGGATGAGACAGTCAAATCAGCCATGATAAAATGGGCTCAGGACATTGGGTACAACATTATGTTTGAAGACTGGGAAAGGTTATGGACCACTGGTATGAAATTCACGGCATGTAATGCCTTGAAAGAGAATATTATGAAAATGATATACAGGTGGTACATGACCCCAGTCAAGCTAGCTAAGATATATCATTTGTCTGATAATAAATGTTGGAAATGTAAGGAGGCTGAAGGGACATTCTTTCACCTCTGGTGGACTTGCCCAAAAGTGAAGGCCTTCTGGGAAATGATCTATAATGAGTTAAAAAAGTGTTTAAGTACACTTTTCCCAAGAAACCAGAGGCCTTCCTACTGGGCATTGTCGGTCAGAAGGTGTTAAAGAAGGATAGAACCTTTTTATGTATGCAACTACAGCAGCAAGAATTCTTATCGCAAAACACTGGAAGACTCAAGATTTACCCACACTGGAAGAGTGGCAGACGCAATTGATGGGCTACATGGAATTGGCTGAGATGACTGCCAGGATCCGAGATTTGGAGGAAGAAGCAATGGAGGAGGATTGGAAAAATTTAAAGATTATTTACAAAAATTTTATAAGTTATATGAATGTTAAGAATTCGCATGATTAGGGAAATTCAGCTCCAGCAATAAGATTAAGGTATGGGAAACTAAGCTATTTTAATGAAAAGACTAACGTTTAAAAGAACATTATATATATTATTAGTGCAAATTGACAATAAGCATTTTAAACGTAAATCACAAGTATTTGAAAGAACAAAAGAATGCACGAAATAAGGTTATAATTTGCTGAAAAATTTTATTGTAAAGAACGCAAGGTGAGGGGGACGGGGGGAAGTCCGGTTGGTTATGGAAAAATGCTTTGAAAAGATGATTTTCTTCTTTTTCTTTCTTTTTTCTGTTATTTCTTTGTACATCTGACCTTGTATTTCTATCTGGAAAAATGCAATAAAAAATATTATAAAAAAAAAAAAAAAGGTGGGATAGTCAAGAACAAATACAAATAAAATTAATAATAATTTCCATGCATGCTTCACGCTCACACACATTTTGGGGAGAATTGGAACCACATCATGCAAAATTCAGAGAAGTGAGGATTTTGGAGGAATCACATTTTGGGTTGTTGATTGTTTTGGGAAGCACAGGTAGGCTAAACTTAAAATGGAGACCAAAAGATAATCGTCTCCCATCCCTGGACCACATTGACAGAGGCACACCTGAAGGAAACCTGCTGGGTCTGGAGCTGATGGGTGTTGTAATCCAAAGACACCAGGACGTGTGTTGGGTTGATTAAGGCCAAGCCAAGATGAAGCCAAGCATAGAGTCACTCCTGAAGGCTGACATGGTTGTTCTACTGAGATTAGGGGGAAGAGCATGCCCAAGGCTTTTTTCAGCCGGAACTCAGTTCCAGCACCTCTCAGGTGGGTGCCATTGCTATTAAAAGAGAACAAGGGAGGTCCTCATGGTGAGTTACGGCCCCTCTTTTTCTATAAAAATAGCACTGGTCATGCCTGTGTCTGTGCTTGCTGTCTGAGCACCTCTTCAGGATTTCTCAACATCGCCAAGCCCTGATGACTCGTTCTTTCCCAACATCAATGAAGCCTAAAGAGTCTCCATCATGTGAGTCATCCTTCAAGCTGTTATCAGGACCACTGATGATGTCATACACCTGCACAAACTCATTCATGGTGAACAGGATGGCTTTGACGTCAACGCTGCAAGCATATGTACACTGCTGGCTTAGAGGCAGTTTCGTAGTTTGATGTATTTGTTGTTCTACTTATGTATTGTTTAGTTTATAGCTGACTTTTCCCCTCCAAGCAGCTCAAGATGGCGTACACTGTTCTCCCCCACCTCATTTAATCCCCACAACAACCCTGTGCGGTAGGTTAGGCTGACAGTGAGTACAGTGATACCTTGGTTTTCAAACACCTTGGTACTCAAACTCTTTGGTTCTCAAACATCTTAAAACCCGGAAGTAAGTGTTCTGGTTTTCAAACATTTTTCGGAAGCCAAACGTCCAATGCGGCTGTTAGCTATTGTTTCCCGGGCACCTGCACCAATCAGAAGCTTTGCCTTGGTTTTCAAACATTTCAAAAGTCAAACGGACTTACATAACAGATTAAGTTTGGCGCTTTTGTTTTTGCTATTTATTTTGCATTTTTGTTTTTGAGGCTTTTTCGGTTAATTTATTTTTGTGACTGTGTGGAACCCAGTTCAGCTACTGATTGACTGATTGTGTGACTGTGGAAATGGATAAAAGCCCCCCATCCAAACAATGACTATAATCAGTGCAGGTAAGATTTTTTTTTTAATTTTAATTTTTATCATCTACAATACTGTCTTATTTATTTTATAGTACAGTACATTGATTATTGCTTTCATTTTATGGATCAATGGTCTTGTTAGAAGTAAAATTCATGTTAAATTGCTGTTTTAGGGGTTGTTTTTAAAAGCCTGGAACGGATTAATCCGTTTTGCATTACTTTATATAGGAAAATGCGCCTTGGTTTTGGAACGCTTTGGTTTTGGAACGGACTTCTGGAGCGTATTAAGTTTGAGAACCAAGGTACCACTGTAACTGGCTCATGGTCACGCCCAGTGAGCTTCATGGCTAAGTGTGGGGCAGGTATTTGAAAGCTGTTCTCTCCCAGTTCCTAGTCTGGCACTCTAACCCCTATGCCACACTGCATAAAACCTTATATAAATATTATTTGTATATCTTGCCCTTCCTCCAAGGAGTTCAGGATAGTGTACACGGATCTCTCCCTCTCACAACAACCCTGTGAGGTAGGTTAGGCTGAGAGAAGAACAAGGTCACCCACTGAGCTTCCTGGCTGAGTGGGGGATAAATACTTAACTCATTGACCAATTGCATCACAGAAAACTTGGTCCGCCCCCCCCCATAAAGTCTGCTGCCCTAAAATAAATCCTGGCTATGCCCATACCCTGGGTGTTCTGCAGTAGTTTGACAAGAGCTTGTGACTCCCAGCAGTTTAAGGCGGGGGCGGGGGAAGGCAAGGAAATGTTTTTAGCAGGAGGGTCACACTCCAACATAGGCAACCTTATGGGGGTCAGTTTCCTGTGTTGGGTGGGGCAATATAGATGGGCCTCTTACTTCTGTACCACATGTATGCTCCAGGCACACAAACGTCCAGTAGTTTACACACACACACACACACACACACACACACACACACACTCCATCCAAGTAAGCAAGAGAAATGTTCACATCCTAGCCAGGCAAAGCATTCGAGGGGGACATAGATTGTGGGTGGTGGGAGGCATGACCTGAGGAAAGCAGGAAAATTAAGGACATGAGAGGAGCCGTGTCTGGATCAGGCCAGTGTATAATTGTTTTAAAATCTTTTCCACGTGTTCGTTGTTTTTTTAAGAGCACGTTTTACCACTTTGATGCTAGTCTCCCAGGGCTCCTTGGGGGAGGAAGAATGGGGAAGGACTTTATATCATCATTATCAATTATCTAGTCCAGCATCTTCTTTCCCTCCAGTGGCAATGCAGATACCCCACAAGGAGGACCTGAACACAACAGCACTCTCCCACTATTTTTTTTTTTTTAATGTACAGTATATTTATACAGCGGTACCTCGGGTTACATACACTACAGGTTACATACGCTTCAGGTTACAGACTCCGCTAACCCAGAAATAGTGCTTCAGGTTAAGAACTTTGCTTCAGGATGAGAACAGAAATCGTGTGGCGGTAGCGAAAGTGGTGCTTCAGGTTAAGAACAGTTTCAGGTGAAGAACAGACCTCCAGAACGAATTAAGTACTTAACCCGAGGTACCACTGTGTTTATATTTACATCTATATTCCACTTTTTCCTCCAGGGGGTGCAAGTTGGTGTACATGGATCTCCCCCATTTAATCCCCACAACATCCCTGCAAAGTAAGTTAGGCTAAGCAGCAGTGACAAGCTCATCCTCCTTAGCCATTGGCCATGCTGGTTGGGGCTGATAGGAGCTGTAATTCAGCAACATCCCCTTCTTAACGTGAAACTGTTCTTACTCTGAGGTACCACTTTAGCTAATGGGGCCTCCTGCTGCCACTTGATTTCTGTTCTCATCCTGAAGCAAAGTTCTTAACCCGAGGTACTTTTTCTGGGTTAGCGGAGTCTGTAACCTGAAGCGTCTGTAACCTGAAGCGTCTATAACCCGGGGTACCACTGTACTGCTAGGGCATAGGCAGGGGATCCTGGTTCAAGCCACACTCAGTCATGAAGCTCCATGGGTGGTCAGTATCTGTCTCTTAGCCTACCTCTCAGGGTCATTGTATGGATAAAACGAGGGGGGGGGAGGAGAGGAGGAAGGTGGTGGTAGGGATAGAAATGCAACCATCAATCAAGCAGATAAATGTACTAAGCAGATGCATAGGAAGTACTACACCACCACCACCCATAAAGAAAAATCTGGGACAAGCCCCGTTAAGGAGAGCCAGGGCTCCCTGTCCTTCTTGGTGCTGAAGTGGTTAAATCCCCTTCCAGTCGAACTGGCAAGCCAAAACCAAGGCACATTCGCTAGATCACAGTAGGAGGAGAGGAGGGGTGTCGAAGGAAGTTGGGAGGGACAGAAGGAGAGAAAGAGAGAGAGAGAGAGAGAGAGAGAGAGGAGGAGGAGGAGTTGTTGGGTTTGAAAGCTGCAGAGATCTATTCTCAGGGGCTCTGGGGAAGGGGAGGGGGAAGAACCGGCTTCCCAGAAACTTGAGTTTATTTTTAACCCAGGGAAGCGGTTGCAAAGCGCATGAGAGAAAAGGCTGGAAGGAAAAAAGTTGCTGGCACAGGAGAAGCTTTGCAGGGAGGAAAGAGAACTGCTGACCGGGCGCTGGGCTTGTGCTCTGGACCTTCAGCCTTTGGGACGTTGCCTGACATCAGTGAAGCATTTTGAGAAACAGCCGTCCTCCTCTCCCGCTCTCATGGCCAGGGGGTTTGAGCACAGGATTGAAAAGATGCTGTGTGAATGTAGGCTTTTGGTGCTTTCCATCTCCCCTCCCGAAATGCTGGTCCTTGAACTGGGTTTCACTAAGGATGCACAGAGGGTTTGCTCCCCCCCTCTCCAAAAGGAAGTGAAGTTTGTTTGCTTTATCAAAAAAAAAGATCCTGAGGTCACAAGCACACCACACATTTAAAGTACATATATTCTTCCAAAGAATCCTGGGAACTGTGGTTCCCACAGAGCCACAGTTCCCAACACGCAAAATTAGGAACATAAGAAGAACTTGATGGATCAGGCCAATGGCCCATTTGGTCCCTCATCCTGTTCTCACAGTGACCAACCCTCAAGCACAAGAGCAGCTCTCCCCTTCTGTGGTTTACAGCAGCTGGCATTCAGAAGCACTGCTGCCCCTCAACTGTGCAGGCAGAGTATAGCCATTATGGCTGGTAGCCATCGATAGCCCTCTCCTCCATAAATTAGTCCAAATAGCTTTTTTAAAACAAAACAAAACAAACATGCTTTTTAAAAGTCATCACCGCCTCCTGTGGAAGTGAGTCCCAAAGTCCTTGACTTTTCCAAGGATTCATTGGTGAGGGAAGCAGGGTGCTTTAAAAGAGCTTTGAATATGCTTTAAAGGTATGGCCTGGATGCGACCCAAGGCAAAAGCAGCCCAGATGAAAGGTGAAAGGGATGTGTCCCTTGCCTGCCTGGAGATTCATTGGACATCTGAGGGAGTGGCTTTGTAATCAGAATGAGTGGCTTGAAGGGCAAACTCTACCATTTTGGAATTGTGGGCGAAGGTGCTGTCATTCTGCCCCTCCTTGCAAAAACCCTTACAAGTTAAGAAGAAATGGGGGCATGTCAAGAAGAGACATTCTAGGTCAGGATAGGCAGCACCAAGTGGGTTTCAGGAGTACTGACTGCGGGCTGCACACTGCCTTGTTGCTTGCTGCAGGGGCGGAGGAGTGAGGCCAACATTTGACATCCCCCAGCCCTTGCGCTGCCAGGCACCAGGCTTTGGGAAGGAAGCATGAGGCTCTGGCCAGGTCCTAGAGCCCTTCTACCTCCTTCCCAAAGCTGTGGAAGTGCTGGCTAGGCTTTGGAAAGGAGGTGAGAGGACTCTGTCAGAACCCTTTGCCCCCCCCCCATCTCACTATTGTTTGGGCTTCCCATTGGGCATCTAGTTGGCCATGGTGAGAACAGGATGCTGGTCTTAATTGGTCCATTTGGCCTGACCCAGCAGGGCTCTTTAGGTCTTCTGTGTTCTACTTTCATTGCTGGGTGTTTGATACCAGCTGCTGGGAGTCACAAGTGGGGAGAGTGCTGCAGTTGCACTCACATCCTGCTTGCAGACTTCTCACTGGGGCATCTGGGTGGCTGTAGTGAGAACAGGATGCTGGACTAGATGGTCTGATCCAGCAGGGCTCTTCTAATATTCTTATTTATCGTCTCTCTCTCTCCACCCCCACACTGGTTCATGGATTGCTTTAAAAACATAGAATTGTAGAGTTGGAAGGGATCCCAAGGGTCATCCAGTCCAATCCCCTGTAATGTAGGAATCTCAACTAAAGCACCCATGATAGATAGCTATCCAGTCTCTGCTTTAAAACCTTGAAGGAAGGAGATTCCAACACTATTACACTGCCAAACAGCTCTTACCCTCAGAAAGTACTTCCGGATGTTGTCAGAATCTCCTTTCTTGTAACTTGAAGCCATTGGTTTGGGACCAACCCTGTGGAGCAGGAGAAAACAAGCTTGCTCCATGTGACAGATCTTTATAGATATTTGAAAATGGCTATCATATTTACTTTCAGTATTTTCTTTTTGAGGCTAAACGCACCCAGCTCCCTCAGCCATTCCTCATAAGGCTTGATTTCCAGACCCTTGATAATCTTGGTCGCCATCCTCTGCGCACCATTCATCTTGTCTATATATGTCTTAAACTGTGGCACCCAGAACTGGACACAGCACTCCAGGTTTGGTCTGAGCAAGGCAGAATAGTATGGTACTACTCCTTGATCTGGACTTGATACTTCTGATGATGCAGCCTAGAATTGCATTTGCTTTTTTTGCTGCTGCATCACACAGTTGACTCATGTTCAGCTTATTTATTTATTGAATTTATATACTGCCCTATACCCGCAGGTCCCAGGGCAGATCACAAAATAAAATCAGAATATAAAACCACATAAATACATAATCAAAATAAAATAACAACAAGCCAATAATGCGCCCCCCCCCCCGGATCTAGGGATCTTGTGGTCTACTAAGATCCCTAGACCGTTTTCAAATGTACTCCTGGCAAGCCAGGTGTCCCCCACCTTTTATTTGGGCAACTGGTTCTTGTTACCTAAGTGCACAACCTTGCTGAAATCAGATACACTATGTCCACAGCATTCCCCTGATCTACCAAGCTTCTAACTCTTATCAAAAAAAGGAATGGCATTTGTCTGGCATGACTTGTTTTTGGGAAACCCATGCTTGGTCTTAGTAATCACAAAATCCTTTTCTAAGCGCTCACAGACCGACTGTTTAATTATCTGTTCTAGGCTTTTCCTGGTGTCAACATCAAGCTGACTGGTCAGTAGTTATGGGGGACAAACTATGTGGGTTATGTTCTCCCTCGACTGCCAGAGGCAATAAGTACCCAGAGTACCTTGGGAAGAGGGATTGATTTCACAACCAATCTGAGAATTGTAATTCTGTGAAGGGAATTGGTATCTCTTAACAACTCTCAAAGTACAGCTCCCACAATTCTTTGGGGTAAGCCATGTGTGTTTACAGTGGTGTCACTGTGCTTTAAATGTAAGGTGTAAACGCAGCCAGTTTCATTAGGTACTGTACTTGTTGTAGTTGTCGTTTTCTTCATTCCCAGCCCTTTACCCTAAGATTCCAGGACAGTTTACAGCACTAAAACGCAATATTAGTAACAGTATTAAAACAACTTGCAGTCACAAAAATATGGTTGTCCTAAAAAAACAAAGTGATGTGTGCTTGAGTGTGAACAAATTATGTGAATCAATCATTCAAAATGAAAAATCAAAACTTTATTATCAAGAGAAAATAGTGATTTTACTTTCACATATCAATTCAAAATTTTCATTCAGTTAAGACGATGAACGTTTTCAATCTGGATATATTCCAGTCAAGCTTTGTGGACAGATTTCTTTCTTCATCCTCCCCTCCGCCCCCACCCCACTCTGTGCGATATAGAAGTTCAACTCCCGACTTTTCGAAGCGAATTTGGAGACGTGTAAGTTTCCTGTGGGTGGACATTCTCAGCTCCAACATTCCTTTCCCCCCATCATTAGTTCATTGCTTAAAGTGCTTCCTGGATGTTCCCCTTTCTTGCCCTCTGACATTTGACCTCACGGGGGGCTTTTCTACACTGGCTGAGCAAAAGCCTTGGAATCAGCAGGGGTCCCAGGAATGGGATTCCACTAGGGTGATATCATAATCCTTGCTGGCAGTTCTGTTTCCTTGCTAGGAAGCCTCCTAGCTTCTTCTGGTGGGAATCTACTCTTTGCACTTTCCATGGGACCAGATCCACCACTTGGATTCACGGCATTAAAGTCCTAGTCTGGAAAGCTCCCACTCCCCATGTTTATTGTCACACCCAAAGCCCAATATTTTCTCATCTGCTGGTGATGATTGGGACCTCTCACTGGGAGAGGCTCCCCTATGAGGAAAGGTAACAAAATTTGGGACTTTTCAGTTTAGAGAAAGAGTAAAGAAGATTTGACAAAGCAGGCTATCAATGGCCATAATGGCTATGCAATGTGGCTCCACAGTAATAGGCAGCAATGTTCTTGCATGCCAGTTGCTGGAAAACACATGAGGAGAGAAGCCTTTTGTACTCAGGTCCTGCTTACAAGGTTCCCATAATGGGCCTGGTTAGCCACAGTGAAAAGAGTATACTGGACTAGAAGGACCACTGGCCTGATCCAGCAGGCTTTTCTAATGTCCTTACGTTCTTACTGCAGGTTCCCCATCCCTGATCTCAGCCCAAAAGAAAAAATAAACCCACAGGAAGGTAATTTTCACTTCCTGTGAAAAGTCAAGGTTCTGAATTTGTCTGAACTCCCCGCTCTTCAACTGCAAGGGAAATATTATTCTTGTTCCTGTTTAATTCAAAAACTCGAAGAGGTGAATAGAATATTTGACACATTTGGTTGTTGTTTTTTTAAATGTCCCAAGCATTTTGAACATGTGATTAGTCTTTGCCAGGGACTGCAGTTTAGAAGACAGTATGACTGCAGACCCCAAGTTTTCTTAAGTTCATTCCAGAGTTTACGTGGTCTGGTTCGCACTACCTGGCCTTCACATTTGACAGCAAACATCTGATGGGTTTAGCGTTTGATATGTTTTGTTGGAGCTTGACAGCGTTTGAAAGCCAACAACTTATGGGTCTTGAAGATAGCTAAAATGTTACCAACTCCATGCTATTTGAGAGGCCATCAGGAAATCAACTGCACTCAAAAATTCATGCATATGTATATAATTTTATTTGTATGCCACCTTTCCATAGTTAAAACCATGTTCAAGGTGGCTTACAATAAGAAAAGTACATAATTGCAAATTTAACAAAAATAGTCATAAAGTACATCAAAAAGTACACAACCAAATTGAACAGATTCCAAATAAATCATAGTAAGATAAAAAAAAATAAAAGCAAGAACAGCCATAAAAGCCCCCAGTTACCATCCCCCCCAACAATACTCCAACCAAAGAGTCTGTTTAGCAGCCTCAGCTTTTGTTGTTGTTGTTGTTTAGTTGTTTAGTTGTGTCCGACTCTTCGTGACCCCATGGACCAGAGCACGCCAGGCACTCCTGTCTTCCACTGCCTCCCGCAGTTTAGTCAAACTCATGCTGGTAGCTTCGACAACACTGTCCAACCATCTCGTCCTCTGTCGTCCCCTTCTCCTTGTGCCCTCCATCTTTCCCAACATCAGGGTCTTTTCCAGGGAGTCTTCTCTTCTCATGAGGTGGCCAAAGTATTGGAGCCTGAGCTTCAGGATCTGTCCTTCCAGTGAGCACTCAGGGCTGATTTCCTTCAGAATGGAGAGGTTTGATCTTCTTGCAATTCATGGGGCTCCAGCATCATCTCCTTCAGCTTTTGTAGCTGGAGCCTAATCAGGGCCTGACCCCCCTAGGCCAGGTGGGGAAGGGCCTGCAAGGCAGGAAGCAGGTCTTTCAGGTGTCTCAGGATTCGCAGCCAAATGTTGGGTTTGAAATTCAAAAATTTGAAAGACCTTGCTTTGGTTCTTACTCATGGGACACCCAAATCTGACTGTCAGAGTAAAGAGTACTCAAGGCCCACACCCTAGATCAGGTCCCAAGGTGTGCACTGTTGAAGGCAGGATGCCTCTCTCAAATGCATGTTGGTGGGAGTCACAACTGTGGAGTGTGTTGCTGTTGCACTCAGGTCCTGCTTGCAGTCTTGCGACTGGGGCATCTGGTGAGAACAGGATGCTGGGCTAGACGGATTCTGTTGGCCTGATCCAGCAGGGTTCCTCTTAGGTTTTCTCTCCCTTGTAGGAGGCAGCAATGCTTCTCAATATCAGTTGCAGGAAGCCACAGGAAGAGAGAGTGCTGCTCACGTGCTCGAATCCTGCTTGCGGGTTTCCCATTAAGCATCTGGTTGACCACTGTGGAACAGGATGTTGGGCCGGAGGGGCTGTTGGTGGCCTGATCCAGAAGAGCGTCTCTTACATTCTGTGGCACTGTACAAATAAATAAACAGAAATTCTTTTCCCAGTATCTCGATCAGATTTGGGTTTGTTTATAGGTATAGTTATAAATAAATATAAATATATGCACATGTATGTTTAATCCTTTTTTTGATTGACGCTTTTACCATTCAATTACTTCAGTGTGTTTCACATGAGGAGAAATAAACATCAGCAATAATGCTTACGTATTAATGGTGGCAATATAATCCATTTTTTATATTTTAAAATCTGATTATATTCCTATTTAGTCCATGGCAGGGGAACCCTTTTTCCTTCCTTCCTTCCTTCCTTCCTTCCTTCCTTCCTTCCTTCCTTCCTTCCTTTTTGTACAGCTTCCAGAAACATCTTCCTCCTCTCTGACACGCTACCCTGACTAGATTTTCCACCCACCCCTCCTGCCCCAGAGAGGGTTGGTTTACTCCATTGTTCACCTAAGGGGGCTTGTGGATGAGGAAGCCAAGAAGAGTGGGATCTCTTGCCTGCAGGGAGACTTTCCTCCCTCTCCTTCTCTTGGTAGGTCTCTTCCCTCCTTCCCCTCTTTCTTTCTCACCCCCACAAAAAACCCTTCTTTGTTGAGCTCTTTCTCAGCTGAAATGGCAGTGCCTGGGTGTTCAGAGCTGACAATAATTGCAGAGTCTAGACAGTGTCTGGTATGAGGCACACACAGAAATCAAAGAGGCCTCTCTCTCTCTCTCTGACTTCCACAGATGCTCTTGTGGACGGGGGCCATCCCCCTCCTTGAGCACCCATGCACTTCTCTGTGGCCCTTTCACCCCTCACAATTTCTCACATCCCTCTTTCCTTGGTGTCCCCACAAGGGACTCCCCTCTTTCTTTTGTTAAGATATTGTACCCTTCCCCAGTCCTGAAAAAGGCTAGAGGGCCACAAATCTTCAATGAGGTTCTTTGATACTCTGGAATACACAGAAAACAAGACATGTTTGCTGCACATCCAGCAATTTTCCTATTATTATTATTATTATTATTATTATTATTATTCTAATTTCAAATTCAACACACGCCTGCTGTGTGTGTTGGCAGATATGTAATCTGGCAGATTATATATTGTTGTTGATATCCGTATGCCTTGAGAGACAATGGAGTGTGCTTCTGAGGTAAAGTCAAGCTGCTGGGGAATCACAGCGCCTGCTGTGGCTGCAGAGACTGGTAGCTTTAAACTGCTGCCTCTGGTGTTGTTTTTGCCACATTAGCAGTACTGAAGCGACTCTCTGGGGTGCAAGCCTGGGCAGTGTGTATGGAGGTCCTGGGCTGCCCAGAGAACAAGACCCCCCCCCCGGCCTACTGATTCAGTCCCAAGGAAAGGAAAGCAATACATCTGGCATCAGCTTGACTGCAGGAGTTGCTAGAAGGAGGCGTATAGGACACCATCCAACCACTTTAGGGAATCCACTCCGGATATGTGCAGGGTTTCCTCCTTAGCCTTTTCTTCTCCTAAAGATAGCCTACAAGGCAGTGGAAGTTTAGGATCAGAGTTTACCTTCTCCGAGATGGGCTTGCTTCCCAGGTTGGTAAGCCCTATCTGCCCCTCTCCAGGACATGCAGAAACCATCTTCTTGACTGTTGGACCCACTGTTGGTTTCGTCAGCTTAATCTGCTGGAGGTCCCTAACACATCAAGGGTTTAAGACCCATTGGCTACCCTTGTTTAGCTGGCCAGTCAAAGTGGTTTCCCGGAGTGTGGCCACTGTCACACATTGACAGCTTCTAGGAGCCACAACTGAGAGCTGAGTGGAAGGTGGAGACCAAACGTAAGGATAAACTACCCCAGAGGGAGCATGAGGTACCTCTCAGCAGAGATACTATCCCTCCCCTAAGACCCCCTGCACACCAGATTACAAATTATGATTATGATGATAATTTTAATTTTTGTACTGCTTCCCATTTCAAATCCTTCCCAGTGGACGATGATGGACTCAGACTTCATATAAGCCACATTTTAAGCACATGGATTTTCCCTCAACCCCCCCTCCAAATAATAATCTGCGGGAGCATCATTGATCATTTTGAGCTGAACCTAGGCCTTGGGTTATGCTTGAACCCACCTACACTTCACCCTGGGCCACCGAGGCTCATTTGGTAACAAGAAGAATCCGGACCTTTAGCATCATTGGCACAGTCCTGTGGAACACTCGGCCAATAGAGAGCCAGCAGGCACCTCCTGTGCCAACTTTCAAACACGTGCTGAAACCTTTTCTATTCTGACAGGCCTAAGAAGACATCCTTCCCCAATGGTTTATCATGGTCTGTTAAAAACCTTTTAAATATGTTTTTTGTTGTATGGTTTTATGTACAATTGTTGAGCATATGCAGATAAGCAAGTAGACAGACAGACAGGCACGCACACAGAGAGATAGATAGATAGATGATAGATAGATAGATAGATAGATAGATAGATAGATAGATGATAGATAGATGATAGAATGGTAAGTTACCCCTCCTAGTAATGGTGAGAGCCAGTGTGGTGTAGTGGTTAAGAGTGGTAGTCTCGTAATCTGGGGAACCGGGTTCGCTTCCCCGCTCCTCCACATGCAGCTGCTGGGTTACCTTGGGCTAGTCAAACTTCTTTGAAGTCTCTCAGTCCCACTCACCTCACAGAGTGTTTATTGTGGGGGAGGAAGGGAAAGGAGATTGTTAGCCGCTTTGAGACTCCTTTGGGTAGTGATAAAGCGGGATATCAAATCCAAACTCTTCTTCTTCTATAATTTAGAGCACTTTCAACAAGCTACAGTTTCCAGGATTCTCAGTACATGACACCCAGTGGAGGCCAAGCTATGGCAATAATTGATTTAGAAAATAAAAAAACCAACCAACAAACCAACATTGATTTGGTCTCTAGGTTTTGTTTTGTTTGTTTTTGGGCAGGTGGAAAATCCCTCAATGGAGACCCTCTCCTCCACCCCCCCAACCCACCCTAAATTGACAGCCTGTCACTTGATGCAGATGGCACTTACGTGTAAAAGCTTGGCCGTTTGGATGGCAGTCATTTGCCAAGGCTTATATGGGGGTGGGGGTGGGGGTCCACAGAGGAGGCTTCCTGTCACACCATCTGTTCCCACCTGCAGAGCTTCCTTGAAGTGGAAGGCCGGCTCTAGGTCCCAGGGTCCTTGCGATTCTGCTTGGGGGCTTCCAGACTGGGACTGGGTGGTGGTGGGATTTATTTATTTGAAAGCATTTATATACTGCTTCATTTTTAAAATAATAATAATAATAAATCTCTACGTGGAATACAGTTTAAAAAAAAACCAAACATCATGTCATTATTATTATTTAAAAAAAACCAAAAACCATACACACCCCAAAGCCAGTAAAATGACAAAAAACATAAACATTGCCTGAAAGACAGCATGGTGTAGTGGTTAGAGTTTTCAACGGAGACCTGGGAGACTGAGGTTCTAGTCCCTTCCCCCCCCCCCCCGCTCAGATACAAATGGAGCTCACCAGGAGACCTCGGGGGCCAGTCACCATCTCTCAGCCTAATTTACTTTGCAGGGTTGTTAAGAGGATCAAAGGGAGGATGAACTGAAGACTTGGTGTGATGTGGTGGTTAGATTAGAACATGGGAAGGCAACCTGAGACCCGGGGGCCGGATACAACCCGACAGTCTTCTAAATTCGGCCCACAGACGGTCCGGGAATCAGCGTGTTTTTACATGAGTAGAATGTGTCCTTTTATTTAAAAGGCATCTCTGGGTTATTTGTGGGGCATAGGAATTCATTTTTATTTTTATTTTCAAAATATAGTCTGGCCCCCCACAAGGTCTGTGGGACAGCGGACCTGCCCCCTGCTGAAAAAGTTTGCTGACCCCTGGATTAGAATGTGGGACCAGAAACTGCAAGGCCAAAGTTTTAAATCCCTCACTCAGCCACATATAGAGTTCACTGGGTCACCTTGTGCCACTCACAGTCTCTCAACCTAACCTACTTCACAGGGTTGTTGTGACACTAAAATAGAGAGAAGCCATTGGTATTTGAGGTATTCATATTGCTCCTGATAGTGAAGGTAGAACAAAAGAAGTGCCCTGAAGCCAAAGGAGGCCTATCTAACCCAGCTTCCTGTCATCCCAGCGCCCAATCAGATGCCCCAGTGGGAAACTAAAAAGCAGGACCTGAGAGTAAGAGCCCTTTTCCCTTCTGTGGTTTCCAGCACTTGGTATTCAGAAGCACTGCTGCCTCCAACTATGGAGACAGAGCATAGCCATCATAACTAGCAGCCAACGATAGTCTCCTCCTCCTCCATGAATTTGTCCAATCCTCTTTTAAAGCCATCTATGATGGTGGCCACCACTGTCTCCAATGGAAGGGAGTTGCATAGTTTAACTAGGCACTGCATGAAGGACTTTCTTTTTGGGTTGCCATATTCTGAAGACCAAAATATAGGACACGTTTGACGACTTCTACTTTTAATTATGGGTCGTTATGACGACTCTACCCATGGAAAAGAGGACTTGGCCTGGAAAAAGAGGACATATAGCAACCCTACTTTCTTTTATCTATATATCCACCTATGGAATGGGGCACCTGGGGTGCTAGGAGAAGCTTTTGGACCACAGCTCCCCAGAAAACCCAGCAGCCAGCATGCCTAGCATTGAGGGATTACAGAAGTTTTAATGGAGGAAAAGGCTACTAGAGGATACCCTCCAAAATTCACCAGGAGAAAATAGGGACATTTCTCACTCCCCTCAAACTGACCCTCCTCAAACACCAATTTTTGTCCCCATCCCATCCCCTCACAGAGCATTTCCTACCAGAGGAAGGTCAAGTGCCAGCAGGACACAGCACACACGCCCTCCACTGCCCTGAGGAAATCCCTTAATCCCAGTTTTATTTTATTCTATTCTTTGGTAGATTTACAAAAAGAAAACCACACACCGATAAATAAATTTTAGAAAGGGGCAAGATTAGATGTGGACACGCAAAGCATTTTGAAAAAATAAATAAATCCAGGTTTTCTTTACACTCCCCTCCTGCTTTCTTCCCGCCTGGGGCAGCCCCGCTCTCTGCCTGCACCTCAGAGCAGGTCCCACCACGCTGACGAAGAATTCTACCAAACAGTAGTCAATATCTGGAATCACTGTTCAGTGTTGGACATCGTATTTGCTGAATACACAAAGCTTCACAGCTTGCCTTTCATTGTACAAAGTCTGGTACCTCACCTCATTTAAAGATTTTCAGAAACTTTGAGACTACAGATTGCATTTTGTACTTGTTATGGTTTGAAGGAATTCTATAAAGATTGTCTATTGCGTATGTACATGGTCATCGTGTTGCCTAGACATTGCTGACTGCACCTCAGAGCCGGCATGTCACATGGGGCTGAGCCTTTGTGGCAGCAGCCTCTCCACCTTCTCACCCACTCTCTAGCAGCTGCTATGAGCTGTCCAAGGGAGGAGGCTGGCAGCAGCAGCCATGAAGAGGCAACAGGATGCTCCTTCGCGGCAGCTGCTGCTGCCACTTGGGACAAGTGCTTGCTCATCATCCTCCCTGAGCTCAGCAGCAGTGGCACTGCCAGGGAAAATAGGGACATTTCAGGATCAAATTAGAAGCCAGGACGGAGCCAGTGTGGTGCAGTGGTTAAGAGCAGTGGACTCCTACTCTGGTGAACCGGGTTCGCTTCCCTGCTCCTCCACATGCAGCTGCTGGGTGACCTTGGGCTGGTCACACTTCTTTGAAGTCTCTCAGCCTCACTCACCTCACAGAGTGCTTGTTGTGGGGAAGGAGAATGTTAGCTGCTTTGAGACTCCTTTGTGATAAAGCGGGATATCAAATCCAAACTCTTCTTCTTCTTTGTAATTCTGGGACTGTCCCTGGAAAATCAAGACACTTGAAGGGTATGCTAGAATCAGTGGCTACTATCCATGATGGCTGTGTTCAACTTCTGCTATCAGAGGCGGGGTGCCTCTGAATGTCAGTTGTTGGGATTCACAAGTGGGGAGAGTGTTGATGTTGAGTTGTGTGGGCTTCCCATTGGGGAATCTGACTGGCCAATGTGAGAACAGGATGCTGGTGGCCTTCCTATAGTCTTGTGAGTCCATTGAAGGAATTTTCTTATTTATTTCTGTGTTGTTCCTGATTGCTGCCTACTCTGCCTTACCGGTTTGTCATTCGTATTGATGGAGGGCACCTTGTGAGCTCCTTGCAAGAAGGGAGGGATTGGAAAGAATGCAATCCAATTACAAATAAATAAACTTGGAGGGTCTTCCTCAAGTGAAACTTCTGAGACAATTCAAGGAAAGTTCCCCTCCCTCTTCACTAAGGCTAGTGAAATTTCTGAAGGCAGTGGTGTGTTTACGCAACTCTGCCTCCTTCTGCTTCTCAAAAGCCTTTGGAAGGATTATTGCACCTACTAACCCCTTGTCTGATTGCAAGGAAGATCTAAAGACAATAGGCATGATTTAGAGGGTCTGTTTGTCAGTCTCTTGTTTAAGGAACATGTGCCAGCTTTGTGGCAGGGTCCTTGAGTAAGCGGAATACACACTTGGCTGAATAATTGTGTTGAGAAAGATAGGTTGGGAAATGGTGGCAGGCTGGTGGAGAGTAAGAATTTAGAAGGGGGTGGTTGCTTCATGGGCATGCTGAATGCAATGATAGCTAAGAAGATAAGAAGAGACGGCTGGATCTACTCCAGCATCCAGATTTCACAGGGTCCAACCAGATGCCCAAATGAGAAACTTGTAAGGAGGACCCAAGCAGAAGAGGAACTCACAATCATAACAGCGAGAAACTCTATTGATCTTTAAATCACAAATGAGTTTCTCAAGAAACTGAATTCTGCACCTTGTACTGTGCTGTAACTTCTTTTTTTACACATTTGCAGAATTGTAGCAGCTTGTAAAACCACTTAAGAGATTTAAAAAATATTAAGGAATTTATAAATGCTTTTACATAAAAATAAATAAAACAAGTCTCACAGTCGTCAACCGGATGCCTGTCGAAAACCTGTGAGCAGGACCCAAGCACAAGAGCCCTCTACCCTCCTGCAGTTTCCAGTAATTGGCATTCAGATGCATTCCTGGCTCCCACTGTGGTTTATCAGGGTTTGAAGAAGGCATCACTTTCTGTTGCACCCTATATTCGTCACGCACTGTGATGGAGGCTGTGCTCTGCCTTCAAGGTCAAAGGCAGTAATGCTTCTGAATACCAGTTGCGGGAAACTGCAGGAGGGGACAGTTGCCGTTGTGCTTGGGTCTTGTTTGCAAGGTTCCCTTTGGAGCACCTGGTTGGCCACTGTGAGAACAGGATGCTGGTCTAGGTGGGCCTCCTTTTGCTTAATGCAGCTTCAGGGCTCGTCTTTTGTTCTATCTCCACTGTCAGAAGCACCTCTGAACACCTCTGAATGCCAGTGTCTGGGAAGCACAAGTGGGGAAGAGTGCTGTTGCCCCCAGGTCCTAATTGTGCGACATTTATGCAGCCACTGTGAGGGCCCGATGCTGGATTTCATGGCCCCCACTTTGGCCTGATGCAGCAGCCAGGCTCATATTATGTTCAGCTTCAAGAGCAGAGAAACCAAAGGGTGGGAATAGTGGGCAGAGAACCCATCTAACCCTTTCCTTATTTGCTCATTCTCTCCCTCCAGTTGATAACTCGGAGCTATTTCCCCACCAGACTGCAGTGATGGATTGAAGCAGAGTCGCTGCAGAAAAGGAAGTAGCTACATAAAACCTCCCTACATCTTTGCTCCAAATGCCCCTCTTCTTGGACTGAAGCTACTTTTAAAATGGCAGTGTGCGGCTTTAATGTGCACATCTGTCCTTACCTAGTTTTTTTTAAAAAAATATTTGGCATGATGTCATCATGTGTCTCTCCCCACCCCGCCCCCACCTCAGTTTTCCAGATCTGCTGTGGAAACAGCAGAGGCTGCTTACCATGGAGAGCAATCACATTAGGAAAGTATGCGTTGTATTTTTAAAACAGGCAGTGGAGTGAGCTAAGCTGCATGTGACTGACTGCCTGGTCTTGACCACAAGCAGACATTCCATGGGCATTTGGATTGTACCAATATTTGTGGTCCACGGGAGAGGTAGGAAGAGAGTGTGGGAAGATCTTGGGTGCGGGGGTGGGCGGAGACAGGCAGCTTGCATCTTATACCTAGCTCTCGAAACAAAGGGTCACACAGCCAGATGTGTACAGACACTGTACATTTAAAGCACATCCCGCCCTCACCCCCTGAAAAAAAAGAATCCAAGGACCCTTCACAGAGTTACAATTTCCAGCACCCTTAACCAACTACAGTGGTACCTCGGGTTAAGTACTTAATTCGTTCCGGAGGTCCGTTCTTAACCTGAAACTGTTCTTAACCGGAAGCACCACTTTAGCTAATGGGGCCTCCTGCTGCCGTCGCACCGCCAGAGCACAATTTCTGTTCTCATCCTGAAGCAAAGTTCTTAACCCGAGGTACTGTTTCTGGGTTAGCGGAGTCTGTAACCTGAAGCGTCTGTAACCTGAAGCGTCTGTAACCCGAGGTAGCACTGTATAGTTCCTATGGTTCTTTGGGGGGGGGGGGAAGTAAAGGGCTCTAAATGAACAGTTATCTATGCAGCTTGTGAACCAGGCAGCCCATTGCTGGATATCATGGTTATTATTATAATTGGATAGCGAAAGGATCCAGGGCACAGGCCTGTTGAAACCAATTTGTATATGCTAATTTATATTTATTTCATGTTTGTTTATTTATTGCATTTCAATACCAGCGTTTTCTCCAAGGAACTCAAGGCGGCATATATGGTTCTCCCCCTCTGCATTTAACCCCGCCCCACAACAACCCTGTGAGGTAGGTTAGGCTGAGAGTAACTGGCCCAAGGTCACACTCACTGACAGCCCTTGTTGATTGCCCCAAATCATTTCCTCTTCAATACATTAATGATCAAAAGAGAGCAGGAGGGAAAATTTATAAAACCCAGTTAACAGGAGTCCTTTTTCACAATCCAATACAGTTTTGGGAAAGGGGAAATCTGTCATAAAGAGACCCTCCAGATTATTATTACTATTATTTGGACTTCTTAGTCGCTTGCTGGAAAATTGAGGACAGATAAAAAAAAGTACTTATTCACACAGCACATAGTTAAACTTTGGAACTCCCTCCCACAGGAGGTAGTGGTGGCCATCATCTCAGATGGCTTGAAAAGAGGATTAGACAACTCATGGAGGAACCAGGCTATTCCTTGCAAGAAAAATCCTGGATAACTTATAGGGATGGACAAATATGCCTTTTTTATTTTTCCAGTCTTAAGGTCAGCTGCCCATGTTTTCCACATCAGTTCCACCACCCCTTTTTTGGTATCTTGGAAATTAGTGCTCCTTTCTCCTAATATACGGGAAATTTTTTTTTTACCTAAAATATATACACTTTGCAAAGTGGTTCCCCAAGCATTTCAGCATGTCAGTATGCCTGACTTTGCTAGAGAATTCAATTGCAAAATTTGGAGAGGTGTGAATTCAGAAGGATGGCTGCATTTCAGTTCGCTTACTGTTTCAGAAAGTGCAAACTATATACAAATTTGTCCCCCACAGATGCAACACATTAGCAGACCCACATACACACAGGTTGCCCTTTCTGAAATGCCTGAATGGCCCCTCTGGCTGCCTTTTCAAATAGAAACATCTGTAAACATTTTTTTGTCTTGAGGCAAGCAGCTTCTAAGGCAGGAGGCAACTTTGCAGTGATCAGGAGGTAGAACCACAGGTCTTGGCTAGACCTGAGTGGGCAACCAGTCCTCAAACCCCTCATCCTATGCATGTTTACTCAGAGGTAAGTCTCAGTGACTGAAGTCCATGTGATTTACTATCTTAGAGGTATTACATGCCACCCCAGTCTCCGAGCAGTGAGAGACCCCAGGGGTTCCAGGCATTTGCTCAGATATGGCTTTCTTGGAATGAAAGCTGAGATTGTGGTTGCCCATAGGATATATGGTTTCATTTACACATGTATACAACCTGAGCATAGGATGGAGGGGCTCACAGCATTGACATCCCAAAAGATCTTGTTTCTCTAAGCTTTGGCTCCAGCACAGAGCAAGCAGGTCTGTGTATCCAGCCTCCAGCCTGCTTTCAGCTCAGCTCCCACAGCCCACTCTGGCTCTTGTTCGCTTACCTAACAACAAGGAGTGGATGGTGAAGGAAAGACCCACACCTTAGCCAGAGGGGCACCATCACTTAGTTGGGGCTTTTGCAACCAACAAGCTCCTCCTTTGGGGTGCTGATGAGGACCCTTAAGTATCCAGCTAAGGTCATTGTCTTACAAAGAAACTTGTCTCACTAGTTTGGCAAACTCTCTACTGGATTCTAATCCTCACTGGGTACAGGAATTGGAATGGACTCAGGGCATCATCCAACTGATTCCTCAAACCCACAATAACTGTTTGCAAAAATTGTAGAAAAGTAGCCATGTGCTCTATATTACAGTTTGATGGAGCCATCTGTTTAAAAGACTCTGGTTTAAAGGTAAGAAGGGAGAGTGTCCTTAAGTTAGGTAAGATGAGCCCTGGAACTGGCTCAGGCTAAAGGAAGCCCATCTAGTCCCGCATCCTGTTCCTAACCAGATGTCACAATATGATGCCTGCAAGCAGGACCTGAGCACGACAGCAAGTCTCCCTACATGTGATTTCTAGTATCTGATATTCAGAAGCCTTACTGCCTTCAACAGGGGAGGTAGAACATCAGACAAGCCCTGCTGCTGGATCAGGCCAAAGGAGTCCCATCTAGTCCACCATCCTGTTTGTTGTCTCAGTGGCCAGTCAGATGCCCCAGCAGGAAGCCTACAAGCAGGACCAGAGCACAAGAGCACTCTCTCCCGTGGTTTCCAGAAACTAGTATTCAGAAGTATTTATTGCCTCCAACAGTGGAGATAGGCTGAAGCCACTGATAATCTTATCCTCCATGCAGCCTTGAAGTCAACAATCAAAAGCTAGCTCCTAGGAGGCCCACAGGCTAAGCAGACAGGCAGGTTACCTAGTCACCAACTTCCCCACTTTGGTGAGAGGTACCGTGCAAATCTTTTCACCCTTTTTGCCTGGTGATCCATAAGGGATCCTTGACTGAACCTGAGGCACTTTGACTTCTGTTCCATTTTTTGTCTCTGGCCCCACGCACTCCTGGCAGGTTGACTACCCCTTGCAGGTGATGCTTGGAAGGTTCCCCATAAGGCAGGCATGTCCAAAGTCCGTTTTGGGGGCCCAATCTGGCCCGCCGGTCGGTGTAATCCAGACCCTGTGACAGTTTATTTCCTGAGGTAAAACAAACAAACAAACAAAAACCCCTCAACAACTTCAATCCTATAAAAAGCTCAGCCACTTCAATCCTTAAAAAAGGTCCACTATGGTTGGCCCTTTGGTCAGCCCTCACGGCCCTTCACTTCATCAAATCTGGCTGTCTTTGAAAAAAGTTTGGACACCACTGCCATAAGGGAATGAAACCTTTGGTCTGGAAAAGCTTTATCATTCCTGTGTGACTTGTTCTTTTCAGTCCTGCTGAGGATTGAACCAGGGACCTTCTATATGCCAAGCAGAAGCTCTGCCACTGAGATATGGGCCTTCACTATACTGAGCCAGACCACTGGTCCATCCACCATAATACTGTGAACACTGTCTGGCAGCAGCTCTCCAGGGTTTCAGCCCTACCCGAAGATGCTGCCAGGGATTAAACTTGGTGCATGGAACCTTCTGCATGCCGAGCAGGTGCTCTGCCACTGAGCCAAGGCTCTTTCCTTAAAAACCAAGTAAGGTTCTAATCCTCATAGTTTGGAAGGAAGGGTTCCCTCTCTGGGTCGGGTTGGAGTAGGGTGGGAAGAAGAAGACTCAGTCTAGCCAACTGCTCTAGAATGAGGGAGAGCTTTTGGGTGGGAAGAAATTTGATCTCACTTGGCTCCCCCCTCCCCGCCCCAAGTTTTCTGCATTGCAAAAAGAAGCTCCATCTGCTTCTTCCTCTGCTTCTCTAGCAGGCAGCTCTCACTTACTCAATTCCCCCCCCCCGGTTCCATCCAGGCTCTGCCTTTCCAGAGGCACATTGTGCAAATGTAACCTTTCTGCAAGTCTTGCCTGCATCAGAAAACTGGGAAAGCGGCGAGGGGGGAGGCAGTAGAGAGAGAGATGCCTTTTTCTCCTCCTCCTCCTCCTCTTCTGTATTCCCCCCCCCCAACTCTCTCTCCTCTCCCTCCCCCTTTCCCCCTTTCTTCTTTCCTTCCCGCTTTGGAGCTGGAAGGCAGCTTGTTAATCAGAACTGGCTGACAGCAAAAAAAACGGAAAAGAAAAGAAAAAGCTGACGTCATGCGGCTGCAGTGGTGGGGGGTGGAGGAGAGAAAGAGAGAGAGAGGTTGCTCGATGACTTAGTCTGGTTCTTCTTGCTGCTTTGCTCCAGAAAGCAGAGGTGGGCGGCGGGGTGGGCAGCCTGTGCCCCTCAGCCTCACTTCACGCAGTCCTTGGCCTGACTTCGGGCTGGCGGGCGGGGAACTGGAAGGGAAAGGAGGTAGTTGGAAGAGAGGGAGAAGCGGGGGTAGTAGGGAGGGGTGGCAAAAAGAGAAGTCGAGAAAGGGGGAGAAGGGTGACAGAAAGAGAAAGAAAAAAGGGGACGAGAGAAGGGGTGGCACAGAGAGAGGCAGAAGGGGTAGCAGAAAGAGGGAGGGGGAGAAGGGGTGCACGATGGACCAATGGTCTGACTCAGTATAAGGTAACTCCCTACCTACCTGTTCACCTGAGCCCTTTGGTCAACACTATGAGGACTAGGATTTTACTCTCTTTTTCACTGCACTACTCAGATGTAGTACACTTTAAGGTAAAGGGACCCCTGACCATTAGGTCCAGTCGTGGCCGACTCTGGGGTTGTGGCGCTCATCTCGCTTTATTGGCTGAGGGAGCCGACACACAGCTTCCGGGTCATGTGGCCAGCATGACTAAGCTGCTTCTGGTGAACCAGAGCAGCGCACGGAAACGCCGTTTACCTTCCCGCTGGAGCGGTACCTATTTATCGACTTGCACTTTGACGTGCTTTCAAACTGCTAGGTTGGCAGGAGCAGGGACTGAGCAACGGGAGCTCACCCCGTCGTGGGGATTCGAACCGCCAACCTTCTGATCGGCAAGTCCTAGGCTCTGTGGTTTAACCCACAGCGCCACCTATTTGCCTGCAAAAGATCTCAGGTTCAGTCTCTGGCATCTCCAGGTAGGGCTCCTTGCCTGAAACCGTGCAAAGTTGTGTGGGCAAAGTCAGTGTGGGCAATACTGAGTGAGATGGAGGAATGAGCTTGACTCGGTATAGGCATCTTCCCATGTTCCTAAAACATGCACAAAACTAAATTTGTCTCCCATCTTCTTCCAAGCGGAAGAAAGCTTTCAGATGGAGTTTCTTTAAGTCACTACAATAATTAAGCACCTGAACAAGAGGTGCATAGGCTGTGGGCTTTCTACCGGCACAAAGACAAGGGTCCCTGGAATGAAGCCTTCAGTCTTGGCAATGGATTTGAAAGGAGGGACCCTCCTATCCATTAGTGTAATGAAAACTGCTCACTGAGGCATGCCCTTCCAAGAAAAAAACATTTTGCTTATCAACTGAAGACCAGACTGAAGACTGGTGTCAAATTGCCAGATGTCTGGACAAGAGACCTTCCTTCGATATTGCAAAGCATGCTTAGCTGTAGAACATCTTATTCCCATAGAACTTTGGTCTACAGGCAGATACCCCACCTCTCTGTTTCCTGGTTCTCAAAATCTCAATTTCCATGGGAAGTGAAGGGTAGGGTTCCAGATCCGATGTATTGCCTGGACCCAAATATACGTTAATGGAAAGCTATGCCCAGCATGGAGAAAGTGGTTAGAGAAAAGATTTTCCTCCCTCATGACACTAGAACTAGTGGACATTCAATGAAGCTGAATACTGGAAGATTCGGGGCATAGGAATAGCCAGGATTTATGTTGGGGGAAGGGGCAGAACTGAGGTATCTGTGACACCATTGATCAGTTAGTTACATTTTTATTTATCTACCTGATTTGGGGGGCAGCTGCCCTCCCCCGGCTATGCCCATGACTCGGAGCATGGAACTGGCTACCACAGGAGGCAGAGGTGGCCATCAACCTGGATGGCTTTAAAATAGTATTGGACAAATTCATGGAGGAGAAGAGGGCTATTGAAGGCTACTAGCCATGTTGGTTGTGCTCTGCCTCCACAAATGGAGGCAGCAATGTTTCCGAATACCAGTTGATGGAAGCCACAGGAGGGGAGAGAGTTCTTTTACTGAGGTGCTGCTTGCAGGTTTCTCATAATTGGCACCTGGGTGTCCACTGTTAGAACAGGATGCTGGGCGAAATGGGCCACTGGCCACATCCAGAAGACTTTCCCTATGTTTTATCTACACAATACACAGGAGTTGGTTTAGGGTTTTAGGGAATGTTTTGTCACAGTTCCTTATACAGTGGTACCTTGGGTTACAGACGCCTCAGGTTACATGCACTTCAGGTTACAGACTCCACTAACCCAGAAATATTACCTCGGGTTAAGAACTTTGCTTCAGGATGAGAACAAAAATCGCATGGCGGCGGCAGCAGGAGGCCCCATTAGCTAAAGTGGTACCTCAGGTTAAAAACAGTTTCAGGTTACGAACGGACCTCCAGTACGAATTAAGTTCTTAACCTGAGGTACCATTGTAGAACCATAGAATTGTAGAGTTGGGGGACGACCTCAAGAATCATCTGATCCAGCCTCACTCAGTGCAGGCATTTCAATGAATGCATCCACAACAGATGGCCATCCAACATCTGCTTAAAAACCTCCAAGGAAGGAGAACCCACCACCTTCTGAGGGAGTCCATGCTACTGTTCAACAACTCTAGTCATCATGAAGTTCTTTCTGATGTTTAGTCAGAATCTTATTTCTTATACAGTGGTACCTCAGGTTACAGACGCTTCAGGTTACAGACGCTTCAGGTTACAGACTCCGCTAACCCAGAAATAGTACCTCGGGTTAAGAACTTTGGTTCAGGATGAGAACAGAAATTGCGTGGTGGAGGCGCAGCGGCAGCAGGAGGCCCCATTAGCTAAAGTGGTACCTCAGGTTAAGAACAGTTTCAGGTTAAGAATGGACCTTCAGAACGAATTAAGTTCTTAACCCAAGGTACCACTGTATGTTGAATCCATTGGTTCTGGTCCAGGGCAGAAGAAAATAAGCGTGCTCCATCTTCCATGTGACACTCTTCAGATATTTGGGTATCAGATCATCCCACAGGCAGGAATAGCCATCTGGAACACCTAGTTTGCCAGTAGTACATATGAAAATGATCTAGGGTTCTTAGTGGACCACAAGCTTAAAATGAATCAACAGTGTGATGCAGCAAACAAAAAAGTTAATGCTATTCTAGGCTATGTTAACAGAAGGGCGGTCCCACTCTATTCTGCCTTGGTCAGACCACACCTGGATTCCTGTGTCCAGTTCTGGGCTTCACAATTTAAGAAGGATATTAACAAGCTGGAATGTGTGGAGAGGAGGGTGACCAAGATGGCCAGGGGTCTGGAAACCAAGCCTTATAAGGAACAGTTGAGGAAGTTGGGTTATGTTCAGCCTGGAGAAGAGAAGAGAAGACCAAGATGTGATATGACAGCCCTCTTCAAATAAATGAAGGGCACATGGAAGAGGAAGTGAGCTTGTTTTATCTTGCTCCAGAGGGCAGGACCTGAATCCTGAGCATACCTTGTGAGAAATGGTTGAGGGAGTTGGGTATGTTTAGCCTGGAAAACAGGAGAATGGGAGTAGATATAATAGCCACCATCAAATAGCTAAAGGGCGGTCACATGGAAGAAGGAGTGAGTTTGTTTTCTCTTGCTCCAGAAGGTAGGACACAATCAAATGGTTTCCAGTTACTAGAAAGGAGATTCCAGCTAAATAGCAGTAAGAACTTAACTGATGGTAAGAGCTGTTTGGCAGTGGAATGGATTTCCTTGGAAGGTGATGGACTCTTCTTCATGGGAGGTTTTTAAGCAGAAGTTGGCTGGCCACCATATATAATCTAGATGAGATTCCTGCATTACACATGGTTGGACTAGATGACAGTCTCTCCCAACTCTACAGTTCTATGATTCTTTGATTCTCTGCTTAGGAGAAGAGGAGAAAAAAAGTCTCCCTATCTGCTTTCTTCCATGCCATGCATAATTTTATAAACTTCTACCAAGTTCCCTGTTACGTCTCAGATATTGGAACCTTTCTTCATAGGGGTACACCTATATTTGGCAAAACTGCATAAAATCTTGTGTGTCTTGGGAGGAATTTACACTAAAAAGTGGGTGAAATTTCATGAGGACTTTATTTGAATAAATAAATGAATGATTGAATCACACGCTGATGTGGAGAGCCCGGAAACAGTGAAACTGACAGATTTGCCCCCCACTCTTTTTTGGGGTGGGGTGGGGTGGGGTGAGGCTTTAAAGCAGGTCTCCCATCTACACAACTCCGCAGAGAAAAATATGGAGGTGCAGTTGGAGCCATGTCAAATCGCCTTGGGAAAAAGCGGTGCGTATATGTGTGAATGTAACATGAGCTCCATTTTTCGGATTCCATTCTGGGCGGGGACCCCCCACGCAAGGCTGGCCTGTGTTTCTGAAATGCCTGTGTGGGGTGGAGAAGGAGGTTAACAAAGGGTGAAAAGCTTTTGAAATTCAGCTTCCTCACCCCACCCCCAAACCCCCATGGGCTAAAGCAAATACCCTCCCCCCCATCCTCCTGTAGGTTTCTTCCCCCCACAGCTGCCTCCCCTCCTGGTAATCTATTCTTCCAAAAAAGAAAAAGGGGGGAAAAGAGAGCCTTTTGTTGGCAATCTGAGAGAAAGGCAGGCAGTTGTGTGAGTGAAACGAGGCTTCTCGTGGTCAGCTGGGAGACTTTCCAGGCCTGCCCATCAGATGGTGCTGATTGCAACCCCCAACTGACTGCTGATGCTTGAAAAAAACATGAAAAAATCCTGGTGGATCAGGCCAATGGCCTATCTAGTCTAGCATCCTGCCCTCACAGTGCTGCCCCAACCAGCTGCTCCAAAGGGAAGAAGCCCACAAGCAGGACCAGAGCACAAGAGCCTTCTCCCCCTTCTGTGGTTTCCAGCAGATGGCGTTCAGAAGCACTGTGGAGGCAGAGCACAGCCATTGTGCCTAGTGGCCAGCGATAGCCCTCCATGAAATTGTCT